AGTGTGCTACCTTCACACCACAAGCACATACCGAACTCACTCGGATCATAAACAGCAGCACAAACGCTCAGAAGATCTTTGAGAAGCAGCAATGCTGGTTCGTGTGAAGGTCAATGCTAAACTAACAGCAAACCCTATAAAATGCCCACGTCAACTGCCTGAACACATCCATTATCTTGCAGACACATCTATACGTGAAGCACATTTGCAGTTAGAGAAGACACTGAGCGCTTCCGAGATGTTTATCGTGTGCTATCCGAGTTCCAGTTTTACTTGTCAGCACCAAGAGGACATATCTGGGGTTGGACAAGTCCTAGTGTATTCAGCATGTTTTACATTATGAGCTGACAATTCAGATGATATGCAACAGGCAGAATCAACCTCCTGAGTAAAAAAAAGAGTAAAAGTCTAAGTAAAGGACAGAGTCCTAGGAACATCTTAGATATGAGTGGCAGGAAAGAAAAAAAAAAAAGAGGGAAAGGGGGCTCAAGGGCACTGCGAGCAGAGCTCTGGAGCACAGCGTTTGTTTTTACAAAGTCACTTTCCTAATAGCTTTAAAAATAAATTATCTGTTAAGGAAACTGGCCTAACCTGGCTGCTTGCTATCGATGGGGGTTTAACCCAAACTGCCCCAATGTCACAGATCTCATGAAAACCCCAAGACCACCTGTGCCTCCCAAGTTCCTGATAACGACAGGCAATAACAGGCTCCCATGCTGTTGTACCTCCTCGTTATATCCGTCTGCGTCAGATCTAACCAGAATCTTCCCCACACTAGGGATCTCCACTTCAGAGACCTGCGAGCCAGGCTGGGCAGCAGACTCTGTCCCTTTAGCATCCTGCTGCTGTTCTGCCTGAGCTTTAAGGGCTGTTGCGCTTGGCAGGGCCTTTGCTGGTTCAGCCTCCTCCGGCTGTGGCAGCAGACAGAAGAAAGAGAGAGAAAGAGAGAGGAGAGTAAGAAACACAAAAACCCTGGAAAGCAGAAGGGATCTGAATGAAAAGACGCAGAGCTACAGAGATCTAGACAGGGTAGAAATTTGTTAACGGGCAGATGGGAAGACTAGAGCTGGCTGCTTTGTGGGCCCCACTGCAGCGTTCTCACCTTGCACAGAGCCGCCTCCACACCGTTCTTCTCATAGGCATCAGCCGTGTTGGCAATGGCCTGGGCGGTCTGCTCCTTCGCCATCATGGCATGTTGGGAAGACAATGAGTGCAGGTCAGGCTCGCAGGCTGAAGACTGATCTGATTGGAAATGGAAAGAGATGCTGATGTTACAGAGAAGATACAAAATCAGAGGGACAAAATGGGAAATAGCAGCCAGGGCGGATGGCTGCAGGGTACCACTCCTTCAAGCTTATCAGGAGCACCAACCGATTTCCCTGCCCTGTTCATTAATCCATACAGCTGCTCTTTCTACATCACTGCAAGGGCTGCAGGCCTTCTTTGTTACTCAAATCAGCTGAGCTCTCCCAACACCCAGCTCCCGGGATAGGTGCTGTAGCAGAAACATTGGGGTTGTGCTGAAAACCTGATCTAGTAAAACATGGAAGTAAGAGGAATTCCCTGGCTGACAACAACAGCAAAGCTCATGCATTTAAGGCTGTGCACATGCTTGGGGCGCAGGAGCTTCTCAACTGGATCCTCAGCCCTTTCTGTGCAGCTCAGGAGGTCCTCAGTCGAGAATAAATACCTCGGCCATTCAGATGCTCATTACTGCAATAATTTTTGGGTCCCTCCAGGAACTGTGGCTTTCACAAAACATTCAGCGAGTCTTTTTGTCGACTGCTGCGTCATGTGGCAAACCAGGAACTCCAGCTGCACGTCACGGTGGCCTCTGAAGCATGATAGTTAATCCTATCCAGGATGTACTGATCAACCAGCTCCCTACATTGCCCCTTCCAGTTCCAAGTACACGAGACTCTTCCTCACCTCCTGTAACACTGCTGTGCAGCTGATATCCGCTGCATTTCAACAGCAACATCTCACACTGGCAGGTTTGTAAAACTCTTGGAAATCAGAGAGACACAGGCTATCAAGGAGAGCATGAAGTGGCGGTTTCCCACCCAGTGGTTTACTCTGCACAGGTACAACACATCACAGTGTAATTAAATCAGAGGGAGATTAGATCTTCTACTATTACCTGACTGCAAAACCACACTTCACGAGACAGTTACAGGCCTGTAGCTCTGTTGGTAGCTTTCCCCAAACTTTAAAATGCGTTTAAAAAGGCTTTGATAAGAGTGGGATTTGTTCCATGCAGGCAGTCCCTACAGTCCTAACAAGGTCTGCAGCTGCAGAAATGTCACACCAACCTTGTCCTGATTCAGAAAAGAAATCCTGAGATTCAGAAGCAGATGATGGCTCAATCTGAGGGATCTTGCAGGATTGCTCCCCTTCCCATTCCTCCACCTCCTGTTCAAGCCTCCAGTTGTCCTCTTGTATGTAATGCTTCAGTTCAGGTGGCAGGCCTTCAACTTCCTTCTGGAATTGCCCAGCCCCTGCATCATCATCTGTTGAACAAAAAAGACTTTTATTTGGCAAGACTAGACACGGAGCAAGGTAACATTATTGTCCAACTAGGGGAATCTTGAAATATGGCAGAAAAATCAGCAAACAACTTGGGAAAAAAATCAAGCAAAATAATTGTTTTTCCACTAGATTTTGAGGTTGAATTTAAGACATTTCTTAAACTGAGGACAAGGATCAGGCAGATTATAAAAGCTTCTTGGCTTAAGGGAGGTCTTTTTCTTCTGTTAGCATAGAAGTCCTGGTCCAGGCTGGGGGCTCCTACCCACCAACCCCACACTAACAAAGCAACAAAAATGGCTGTTTCTGGAGGGCGTTCCCAATTTCATTGAGCTCACTGAAAGTATTGGTCAAAATTTCAAGAGGGAGATATTTAACTTTACCAAGGGCTACTATGGATGGGACTTATATGGCGAGAGCTAGAATACAACATCTCACTTTTTTTTTTCATTTGGCCACAGCCAATTTACAACCTCTCCAAGTCTCATTTTTCCCGTCTCCAAAATGGGGACAACACTTTCTAGCTATGGGTATTAGGAGGCTGAAAGAGCATCTGCTGCTAGAGAGACTACACGTGACACAAGCAACTAAGACAACTAGGGGCTTTGAGTCCAGCACCTGCAATGTGGCGTGACATCTTATCCTTTATGTACATCAGGCAGTAGGCACTGGCATTCTTCAGGCCTCCAAATGAATCTCTCTCCAGCTCTTCCCATGATGATTCTGTCACTGAGATGTCATTGTATTTAAGCCAGCTCTTCCGGGGCTGGTCATAGATATAGGCCCAGTAATGACCTGCATTTGCTTGGCCTTCATGAACCAGGACTGCATGCAAATGATAAGGAACCTGAAAGTTCACAAGGACAAGATTTCCAGGCTTATTTTAAGCAGATTAAGTAATGTGATCTCTACAGAAAACTAGAATGACATTTGCAGCTGTCATAATGTCGAAGAATTGTCCATTCATATGTTGGAGTGATGAATACAGATTCCTTTTCTCTTGGTGAGCTCACTTTTAAACAGTCTCCCACCAGTGTTTGCAGCATCTACTGGCAATTGGCCCCCAGCTAAGGGAGGGACAGAGTGGTGGCAATTATTTTCAAGGCATCCATAAGGAAGACTATGCTGAATGAGAGAAACGTACTGGAGGGGAACAGTACTGTTGCCCTACTGGGACAGAGTTCAGGCTTTCAGGGTCTTTGTACAATCCACATATATCTATGAATCTGAAAACCTTGTCTTATCATGGGCAGGAGCGTGCAAAACAGTGACAAGTGACAACAGGCAACACCCAAATGCATTATGATGTATCCATTGCTAGGTTAATAGATTCTAGTATTGCCTGATGGAGAACACTGCTCTAAATTAATTATCCCCCTCCTCAGAAAGGCAGGGTTTTGCTTTCAAAGAAAGCCCTGCGATACATTTAGTGTCACCCCATCCTCCCACACACGCTTGTGTACAAACATGCAACTCTAACAGCAAATGTAGCTTGTATGCACACATCAGTATAAACTTTAAGCACACTCACATTTTACCTTAACCAAGTCACATTGCATACCTGACGGAGGAGAGGGTCACAGTACATCTTCTCAATGGACTGGCTGATTTGGGCAATAGAGCCCTTCAAATCTGTTAAGAAGAGCATGCACAAGGAAGTTAGCAACTTGAGGTTTCACAGCATCCCCTCCTTCCCAAAAAACACAGGGCTTCACACTGAAACTAATCCTTAGATGCCTATATGATATTTAGGGGGAATTTAGGTGTCTAAGTCCTGAAGAGCAAATAAAAATGGCCTTTCACCAGCAGCTCTAAGTAGCATTGGGTGCCTAAATGCATTAGATGCCTTGCTTTCAGGCTGCTGAATTTCACAGGCATCAACACTGCTTCTGTGCGCACAGTGCCCCACTCCTTCTTAGCCCTATTGCTGTTCAAAAGGATGCTGGGGCTTCTCAACTCCACAGAAAAGGAAGCAGAAAACATATATGGACACCTCTAACTCATATCAGCACTGAGTTCGGCTGAAAACAGCTGCTGGCATCCACCTTTTGCCCACACATCTAGTGGCTGGAGAAATGCCCAGTGGCAATCTGGGTTCTGGGCCCACCTGAGCCAGAGGGAACTTGAGACCACAAGCCCCACTTCCTACCACCTTGACTTAACCAAGGGAAGCACAGGGGAGGCCACACACTGCCTGCCCATTAAACCTGGACTGCTGGACGGACAAGTGGGGCTGAGCCTAACGGCAAGCAAGCAGGGAGAGCCTGCCTCCACAAGCTAGTGGTCCCCAGCTCTCTACTGGGAAAGCTCCAGTCCCTGTTCCTGGCACTGACGGTGCAGATTTAATTATGCCATCACCGATTAACCCACAGAAATAATCCTGGCAGCTGAGACCGGGGCCCTCCCAAGTGCAGCACGTTGCATCTGCACTCGGTGCTGCAGGGCAGCCCCGCTGGGGTGGGAGCATAGCTCACGAATTCTCCAGCAGAAAGGAATCGAATCTGGCGCATAGCTGAAATACTTGACAAGCTCTCTGGGCCAACCTTGAATGTCCTGTTCAATCTCACTCCTCCAGCGCTGCAGGCATGTCCGAACCAGGCTCATTTCCTCCTTGGTGGCCACGTGAGGGGCTGGGCGCTCAGGCACTCTCGTCAGTGAAGCTGAGGAATGGACCGGCTTGCTCACTGGTTCTGGCTGTGGCTGAGTGTCTGCTGGAGCAGAGGTCGCATCTTCAGATTTCTCAGCATCCTCCATTTTTAATGCACTGCGAAGCAAAAGCCAAGATGGACAGACAGTTATCCAGGCTGCCACCACCAGTGAAATCACTCCAGATGGCAATCTTTTAATGATCAAATAAAAAAAAGACAAACCCCAAACCACTTGAGATGTGAATGAGCAGTTCCCTTCTCAGAGCATGCCCAGCTTGTATCGTTGATTATTCAGAAGACAGCCCATCTACAAGTTTATTCACCTGCAATCCCTTCCTGGAAGACTAGATCCCTGGACAACAGGTGATACAAGTCTTTGCACGGCTCATTCCTTCCACACGCGGGTGCAGAACTGCCATCCACAGACGCTGGCCATTGCTTTCCTGTTGCGCTACAGAACTCATTCTTTCTCTGCTTTAATTTGGAGTGCAAACCAAGCACGGTGGGCAGATGTGTGATCATTAATATTGCACTACTTTAATGGCTGAAGAAACAAAAAAGACCACCCTATGCAAACAGATTGCATCATTTTTTCAGGATTACTGCCTAAACACAGCACTTTGGCTTTGTCTCCAGAAGGGTGCAGGGGGAAATGGGACACACTAGACGCAGAGTGTCACGTGGGTACAAACTGGCAGCATTAGGATGAGAAACGACAGATAAAAAGGTGACCAACTGCACTTTCTGGGCTACCATATTGCACATCCTCACTGTTCAGAGTGCCTAGACGACCCCATCAGGGCTTCCCTCCTGCATCTCCAACTCAAAAGGAAAAACCTAGTGCTCTCTCCTTCTCTGGTGAAGAGTTTTTTCTTCTTTCCTCACCTGTTTTGCAGCAGAGGCCCATCCAACACACGGGACTCCGCTTGGGGCTCCAAAGGGGCCGCCTGAGACTCCTGGGTGGAGGGACCATCCGCAGGCAGCTTGGCGGTGACAAATTCAAGGACATACTGCAGCATGTCAGGCAAGGGGAAGCGGGTTGGGCCAGAGCCATACTGCATGTATCTAAAGGGCCAAAGCAAGAGACTGTTTTAATAACTGAGGAAGAGGAGGATTCTGGCAACTGAGAAAACACAAATATGCCTGATGAATGTGTGTAAATTAGCGACCAACAGTCCTAAGGGGGTGTTAATACATAGCAGGTACACAACGTGGTAAATGCAGCTTGCACACTACCCTGCCTGCTCCCCGACACCCTGACTGCTCTTCATGGACCAGCCCTCAAAGCAGTCTGGGATCCTCTCCCCCATGCAGGGTTTTTTCTCCCACTCATGGACGCTCCCCCATGCACCTGGCTTCTGTCTTCCTTGGTTGGATCCTCAGTAAAACAGAGGTGCTAGGCTACAAAAGTGTGCCCTTCTGCTCTGCTCAACCTTCCCTTATCTCCAAGTCACTCTCTGTGTTCCCCACCACCCCCTTATCAGGAGTCTCCCAAGAGCTCAAGAAAATAATTTTTTCCTAGGGACTATTTGGCCTATTAAATATTGGACTTCTTTGCTCACTCTCACCAATACAGAGCCCAATTAAAATGGTGGTGTCTGTCCTACACACAACTCTTGACAAATGGAGCCAAGACTAACTTCATCCTACATCCAATGAACCCAAGAAATGGCCTTGGCAGGAACTGTTACATCTAAGGACTGCAACCCCATCCATGACTTGGCCAGGGAGCATCCAGGGCTGGGAGAAGTGTGCGCCTGGCTTTTCTCCATGGTTTTGAAATCTGGCACCACAGATGACTCAGAGCAGTGGCCACCTCAAATTTATTTATTTTTTTTAATTTCCTTCTAATAGCTTTCCTTCAAATAGTTTTTTGTCCCTCTCTGCAAGTGTTCTTGGAAGATGCAAACAAGACAGAACGTGATCATATCAGCTCTCAGGAGATTTTACCACCCCTTCAACTCTCTTCTGAAATACGAACTTTCATTTCTACCCAGGAGAACTTTTACAATCTTTTCTCCTATGCCTGAAGAAGGGTGTTTGGGCCTGAAACCTTTCAATTAAAGATTTTTTTTTTGTTGCAAAAATCAAGTTGGTCTAATAAAAGATATCACTTCTACCATGAGTCCTAATTCCTATCAGCTCTCAGTTTATTCATCAGAAGATAAATTTACCATGGACTTAAAAGCTGACAATGCAGCAACCCCCCTTTTCTCTTTATTTAGGAACAATAGCATACGCATAGCCTCTACTTTGTAACATGCTTCAAGAGAAGCCAGGTACCAACTTCCACACGGTAGAAACCTGGCTGCTTACCTTTCTAGTTTCTCCTGTAGAACTGCGATTTGCTCTTTTAACAACCTGATCTCCTCTCTCTTCTTCTGAATGGCCTCTTTACTGCTGTACAAGTACCTAAAGAAACAATACCCCCCAAAAGTCACTGCACAATGTACACACACCTCTCTCTTGCACACAAACATGATATGGACCCTCCCTGTTCCCAGACGCTCGCCCCTTTGTTGCTCAAGTTAGAATAAAACAGAACAAGTGTAAAGCAACAGTTCTGAAATCTATCCAGCAACATAGCAGCTCACCGGTCCATATAAATTATCTGAGGAAATTCAAGCTTCGTGTGAATCTTCTCTGGCTGCCCCAGCGATTGATTGAATTCAAACCGGGAAAGCTCAAAAGTCAATACTGGAGGGAGCTTCGTAAACCAGCGCTGCGATACAAACAGAAATGTCCCGGCAAGGACAGGTTTTGAGAATATTGCTGCGTGACATGTTTTACTTCCACACATCACTACCCCCGCCACAAAAAACGCTTCTTCCTTTAAATAGACAAAAGTACATATAAGTCATTGAACAGCTAGTCAGGAAGTCTGAAGTTACAAAACCTAAAAGACGTGACTTCCATTTCAGATTTTCACTACAGAAAATCTGGTTGATTATAATGTCCCCAAACCCACCCCGTGCACTCAGATAGACAGACTGTCAAACACTGGATTAAAAAAAGCCCCTGGAGAATAGCCTTGGAGCTCCTTCGCAATGCAGCCGGCATGCAATGGACATCGGCAGACGGCAGCTTTTACCCGAGACTTGGACACTCATCAATTCTCAGTTTATTCATCAACTGTTCAACTTACAAGGTTCAGACAACAGACCCAATGTCCTGGGCTCTGGGCTTTCTCTAGCTCCCACGTTTCACAAATACCTCAAACATCCAGTGCCAGAAGAATACTCCACCCATCTCTGCAGGGTGTCGGGCAGACAGTGCTCTCCCCTTGCAGGCTCTGGACAGTACACTAGGGTCATTGTGCTCTGAAAGACCTGTATCCTAAGTCTTGACACAATTTTCCTGACACCCTCCCCCAATCAAAATGCACCAGCAAGATTTTCTTTTAATATAAAATAATATTTAAAATTAAAGGCAATCTTATTTACATATACAGAGGGAAGTCTGTAAGTTCCCTCGAAAGACAAAATGTACCTTATTCTATCTCCCCTATCATGCAGTCTTCCAGGCACAATATTTTAGGAAGTGAAATCAAGCACGCATTTTCCAGTCACGTATCTTAGCAAAAAACCTGACAGCCCGACTTGTGCTTGGATAGCAGAATACCTAGGAACGGTCCCTTAATTACAAATAAAAAAAAGTTTCCCCTAACTTTCAGTGCAGGTTTTAAAAGAACTGGAAACTCAAATAAAAAAAGGACCTCTGGGAATCATGCCCTGGGCCCCTTCACCCCAACACTGCACCATCAATCCAGCTACAGTTCTGCTTCAATTGTGTCTGGGCAGCACTTGCACAGAAGCAGACACTGCCAGCACGAGACAATTGATTTTCGAGTCCAATGGGCTTTATTAACAAGTTATCCTGAGTCTAGAAGCTGCCCTCTTTTTTTATTGAAGCCATTCCAACTCCTCTTTCAAACTCTTTTCTAGTGAGGGTGAAACTTTCTTCTCCATCTCTACCTGGATGCCTAACCCTCTCAGATACCTCCTGAGTGCTGTCTACACCACCTTTTTAACATTCCCTACCCATTCACTCCCTTCCTCTGCCTTCACATCACATCCCTTTAGCGGCCCTTCTCTGCAGTCTAACTTTCTTTATAGAGAAGTGAGGTTGAATGCAATGGGCGCATCTTATTTTTCACTTTGTCACAAAATTAAGTAGCTTATGATCGACTCATGATTTGAGTGACTTCGGAAAAAAGGAAAAAAAAATAATCAGCACAGGCAGAAAATTTAAGAGTGAAAATGAGACAGAAAAAAAAATACACACTGTAATAGGGAGAAGAGATACAAATTCCAAATGGCATACCATCGAGTTAAGCACTGAACTTTACCCTCCGAAAATATGGAGGCAGTGGGTCTCCCCCTACTCAGGTACAGGTAAGCTTCAACAGAAAGAAAGAGACTTTATCACACTTACACATCAGAGGCAGAAGCTTTTTTAAAAAGGTCAAGTCCTTGAGTATATTACACAGGACAAAAACATCTTTAAAAAGAAGCTAAGGCTCAGCGACTTCAGCATCAACTCAGACATTTAATATTCACATACATTTACATTACTCTGGCTCACCACCGAATGTTTTACAATTGGTTAGGGGGAGAATGTTTTCAGTGTGCATTTTAAATGTTCGGGGTACACAAAGGCCTTCTGCACTATACTGATGATACCCTTTGGAGAAGAGCAAGTAACACATCAAACCAACCTCTTGTCCATATTTCACCGATTGAGTTGTTGCCTTCTCATCAATCTCCCCCTCTATCATGGCCCCTTCCAAGCACTCGGTCAAGTCCCGATAACCGTTTACCTGAAGGGGATACTGGCCAAAAGCCTCTATTTTGGAAAAGGTGTTGCCTGAAGGAGGGAAGGAAAAAGAAGAAGAAAACTGTTCAGAATCAAGAAAAAAAAGTTTTTAAGATCCCTCTGGTGCTTAACTTGGCACACACAGACGTGCATTTCCTACAGACACAGTAGACTTGTATCAGCCAGTGAGATCTCATAGCAAATCAGTCAAAGTTGTGTAGCTGACAACAATATTAGAGAAATTCGCTCCCTGTAGTCAATGCTCTCCAGAGAAGAGACCCTTTTCAGACCTATGCGTAAGCAAGATGCCAATTAGAGGATACCAACTTCACACTATACACATCATCACCAACACAACTACGATCAGATTATCTCTACACTTACTGTAATGCAGAAGGATTAGATAATGTCACTAAGGACCTGTGACAACACACCATGCTACATACCCACACTGGAGACATAACTCTGTGGTAACACTTAAACCAGTCAGAGGGGTTGCAAAGGAAACCCAAACACCCAGACTTACCCTCGTGGATCCCTTCGGTCAGGAAAGTCCCATAGAAAAGTTGTACCATTGGGTTTTCAGATTTGTCTCCAGGGCTGCTGCTTTCCGAAAGGAAAAGTGTGCATTTTGTTACATGGAAATGGAGCATGAGGGTAAATGCCACTTACTTTTGCAAGAATCGACATATTAAAGTGTTTATTTTGATTATGTCCCCAGTAGTTATCTGGCACATAACAAAATATCATTAGAATTACCACGACTAAGAGAAAAGCAAAGCAAAATCGGCCCTCACAGCTGGGACGCTGGGAACAAGCGGCACGCATTTAATGCTAGCATAGTGCTATTCATGAAGCTATTTTTCCAGCAATGGGGTATTAATAAGGACTCAAATTCAATCTCTAAGCTTCAGCCTAGGGCTTTTGAGACTTTGATTAAGTGCAAAGGAAATAAAGTAATCAGTTTATACTAAAGCTAATGGGTAATTTCTACCTTACCAAAACGCCTTTCACCAAGAACCTTGAGAAGCTTTACAAATATCGTCCCTCCTGTTACGTAAATGGGCAAAGTGATGCACTCAAGTGGAAGCAACTTGCTGAGGTTAGCTTAAAAAACAAGCCAGTCGCACAGTAAGGATTGCAGCGTAGGAGTCTGGGCTACTTGTTCCCTTCCCTATGCCGTACTTTATTTGTTCCAGCTGCATTTGTACTCTAAACGTAAGCCACAATTTATTGTGGCCTTTTATCCCCAACAATAAAAAAGTCCTCTTCTTCACTTCAACTGTAATACTTGCAAGCAGACTGTGAAAAGCAGCTGCTATTCACGAACAGTCACCTGTGCACATCCACTCGCTCCCAATTAAACCAGATCTCACTACTAACAATGTCCTACACAATATGAATTTACCCTACAAGCCATATCAAATCCCAGAAGAAAGATGTTCATAAATCCATCTCAAAAAGTTACTTAGTAGCTCGTGCACTCTTTAGGTCATGATGGCCTTGAGTAAAAGCACATATCCAGGCACAAAATGAAAAGCTGCCTACTAGGAAATAGGACTATCCTGCCCGACTCAATGAAGAAACATTTCTTAGTCGGGTCAAAAGTCTGATTAAAACTCCTGCCACAGTTGATTTAAAATCCATTCTTCCTTCAAAATAAGTGAAAGCTGCCCCAACCTAAGACTCACTTAACGTTAACAGCTAGCTGAAACGCATCCTCCAGCCAATCCAGAAGTTTGTGGGTGAATTCGCTCACATCTTGCTAAAGAGAGACAGAAACCAGAGAGTCAGTCATTTCACTGAGAAAATGCTTTGATACTTTACTAGTCTTACATTTTTTTCAAATACACGCCCAACACCATTGCAGGCTTTCTAGCTACCTGGTTATCAGGTGAACCTGGGGAGGAGGGCTGGAAACTATGCCCTACAGGGGTTGTTGATAACAGACAGCTGGATACTGCGCAATTAGGAACTAGGAAGTGAGAGAAGGGTCAGGAAACCATAATAGGGTTAAAAAAAAAAAAGGGATGCAAGCAGAAAAACAGGGGAAGTCTGCAACATGTAGGCTGTAAATCCTAACTGCAAGAACAGTACAACAGAACAAGCAGCCTAGGGAAACTGTGGACTCTCCCTTCACTGCAAATGTTCAGAAAAAAGCCAGATAGTCAGGGTGATTTAGGGGCAATGAATCTTGCATCTGTGCAAGGGGTTGGGCTGACTCCTGAGGTCCTTTCCATACCTATGATTTTATTCTGAGCTAACTGCCTCAGGGTACATTCTTACCCTGCAGTAAATGCAAGAGACAGCTCACTCCTAAGTGGAAACAGGGCAAGCTGCCTCGCATTTACTGTAAGGTAAGAGCAGGCCCATAGGCAATGACCCCAGAGTTGCTGATGCACTGTAAGTTCACACCCTACCTCATTGCATGATAACTGGTTCATGTGGCCGTAAGTCAAGTCACAAGAAACTGCCCTGGGGCATAAGGAAATACACCATGCTTCCAACCCAGCAGTCACTTCCAGCCCACTGTGGACCACCAGAGAGAGGGTCACACATGGGCTGTTTATCCTTTTTTTTTGGAAATCTTGTGCATTACATATGGGTAATGACACCAGTCACTGTACTTCTACCTGCCAGGTGACAAACATGTATCCACTAGAAACCCCGCAGCACCAAGTGCAACATGACTGACATCTTTGCCAGGGTTGTCATGGTAAAAGCAGACAGGATTTTTAGGCATTTTACCTGCTGCTCTTCAGCTGTTCTAAAGGCCTCTCTCAAAAGCTCCAGCGCTGCAGTGGGGTCCACAAATCTACGGTGCGTTCCCAGCATTAAAGCAAAGAGACACTGAAGTTCCTGCATGAAGGCAATATTTCTCTTTTCCTGCATTAGAAAACATAAGCACATGACAGTTTAACGCAACGGGAAGAAAAGCAGCAACTCCAGAGTGCACATGCTACTGGCTTGGTATCAGCATCTCCAGAGGTACATGTACAAGGCCACAAAAGGGACATGACTACTATAGAGAATCACAGAGACTTGTGCAAGGATCTCTCTCTGGAGCAAATTCAGCCTTGACGTAACAGAAGTGAAATACCTTCAGTAGTTCCAAAAAGTGGGAAGTCTAGAGTTTGGAGAGGTACCAAAAGTAGTAGTATTGTACCGCAAATACGGGCACTGAAATGCTGCATTTCATTTTTAGACAGGAGATTTTGGGGGTTAATAATGATGGCCAAGGCAGCAAGTGCAGAAGCAAGTCACGGATATCTGGTCCCATAAGGGAATTTAATACTGGACAGATTCCCCACCTTCAGTTTGGGAGAAGGGCTATGAAGAAAGCTCTCAACCATTTCTGTCATTTCTTGAGGGTTACCCAAGAACAATTTCCTTGCTTTGAGCAGCCAGATGTTTTCAGAATCACCAGCTGGGCCACCTGAATCCTCTCCTTTTTTTCAGACAAGCTCCACTCCAGAAGAAAGTGGGGAGAGGGAGCCAGAGGAAATGCCACGCTATTCCTCTGTTAGGACTTACGTTGCGACTTCGACAGTTCTCAAGCACGCTTTGGGGGAGAGTGTAACCAAGGACCAGCCTCCGAAATTCTGGCAGCTGGAAAAGAGACTGAAAGGGAAGAAGAGTCAAAGGACAGGTCAACACAAAGCCTGGGTTTAGCTCTCCTTTGCCAAGTCTGTGCCTTTTTCATATAGTGCAGGGTCAAACTCTTCACTGCTTTTTTCCATGAAAATTTAAATCTCTAACAGCTTAGCAGTCGACCGAAGCCAGGTCAGAGTGCTTCCTGCCCTGCAACCTGTCCGTTCAACTCTCCTCCCATCCTCCCAGCGACAGTTTTAAGCTAACCTGACGGCAAGCCCTTTGGAAGGAGCGGGGACAGATCTTCCATTGCACAAAGGAAAGCTAAGTGACAGAGGGCAGGGGCATTAATCATGACCCCAAAGAAGCATCTGACACCTGCTCCCCCTTCTCCCCAAAATAGAAAGACACCGCCCCATGTTTATCTGCTGATGCCGGTGTAAAAAGAACTAGGTGTGTTAGGTTTCTCTTTCTGCTGTCTCTTCTCATTTAACTAATCACTAATAATGCACCCTGGCTAGTTTCTTATTAGATTGGGCACCTAAGCTACTGTGTTCCATTAACTGGAATCTGATACACCATGCATTACAGAGCCAGGATTTGTTCCAATACAATTACATTATCACCACTTTGCCAATCTGGCTACTGTCATCCAAGAAGCATTGTGACCTCACTGCACCATGAAATGGAGTGCACGGGGGTTAGCGACAATAAATAAAAAGCATATTCATAGACCCTTTCCTTTACATTGGAAGTCTGGCCCTGATGGTAGCTGGCCCATGGTTTTGAGCAGTTTCTGTATGACATAGGGTCATGCAAAACAGTTTTCTCCACTGGAGTTTAGGAATTGAAGCAGAAAGCTGGTGGGTCCTCACAACTGGGTCCCAAAACGCAATTTTAAAAAATGCAAAAAACTCACAAAATCTGAGTAATCACTGCTATTACTGTCAAATTCCTGACAGCTGGCTGGCTTCCTATGACCCATTTGCTCATGACTTGTCTCATGGCAGTGTTGTAGGGATTATTCAAAGTGCATTTTGACCTCTGCATACCAGGCATTACAGAAAGGCAACACATGTCTGTCACTATTATGCATTACCTGTATGACAGCACTAAACCAGCATGTATTTCCAATGTTTTTCAATCCAACAGGCCAGTCATCCACCCTCCTCCAGTTGTTTTGATTGGGATTCTCTCCCCAGACTTCACATCGTTTCCTTTTGGAGCGATTTTTGTTTTCTGCAGCATTTGTTTCGTTGGCCCTGCCAGAAAGGTTGAAAAAGCAAATGCAACCTTGCAAGAAAGCACCTTCAGAGTGTCAAGCTCTTTAAAAGGAGATGGAAATTCATACTGGCAAATCATCCCATCTAGTCAAGTAATCACAGTGGAACCAGACCAAAGGAGCTATACTGTCACCCCAAGCAGGAGACATTTATGAAACAGTCTCACGCTGACATACAAAGCCTGTCACCTCTAGGTCTACTTTGTTATCGTATATATTACAGAAGAATCTAATAGTATTGAGCACTAAGTCTCTACTGACATCCTCTCTGCCTCAGAGAATTTCCGTTCTTGGATGGAAAGAACAGCAATCTTAGATTGCAACAGGAAAACAGAAATCAGAGAGGATGGGGAGGATGAAATAAGGTAAAAGTACAGTACAACACTTTTTTTTTCCCCCTATAATACAAGCTACTCGAGAGCAGGATTTGCAGTCTGAGTATATCACGTGTTATATTAGAGACAAATCCAGGACAAATCAAATCCAGTGCATAGCCACCAAGTGTAAGGCTGCTTCATAACCTGCTTAAAATGAGTTGAAGGAGGCAGTCCTGGTGCCAGTTTTTAAGGGACTGATACCCATGATACTAAAGCCTCCATGCAGATCATGTTAGCAGGGATGGCAAGGAGTGACTAGGCTGTGTGGAGAACGAGCCTTTCTTCCCTGGGTGTGTATTACAGTGCTAGCATAACAGTCCCTCCAAATCACATATGTGAAATGTTGTTAAAATCTCCAGTGTGATAATTTAAGCACCTCCCAAGGACTCTAATAGATGGAAGTTAAGTGAATGAGTAATAGAGGGGTTTTTTCCCCCTGCAGTTGTTAAAAATGTACCAGGCATAAGGACCACAGAAGCATTTACAGGAGCAGGAAAAACACTTACATATTCACTGACCTGTTAGCATCCCTTTCCACTGTTTGGACTTTTGGAGACTCCATTAAGCTGAGAGCAATGACTGCCTGGAGGTCACCTTTGTTATCCGGCGTTAGATCAATCACATCTGGGAATTGAAGGAGAGTTTTTCATCACTTTTTATGCCAGAAGCAGTAAAAACCCCTTTTTAAAAGCAAAGGCCAAGTATTATTCCCACTTTGTGTCATAAATGCCACTACCTTAAAATGCAGAAATGTTATTTTCTGCTGCAAAAGTAAACCAACTCCTTGTCCTTTTGAATTTCAAACAAATAAAATTTAAGGTCGGAAAAAAATCTGGGTGGAAAAGGCATGTGCTCCATGATATTTCAAAGCATGATTCAGATACTGGGGTAGCAGGCAGCAACAGCTTGGACTGGGATTAGTAATGGCACTAAGGAAGAAGGACCCAGCGCTCAGTGCTTTGACTTGATATTTGATATTTTTAGTATCAGCGTTAATTAACAGACTGGCTTGAAGGAGAAATGGGTTTCAGTTTAATGTTGTTTGCACAAGAACTTGGAATTAAATTCAAACTCAGACACTATGTATTACTGGTCTCCCACTGTCTCTTGCAAATGTTCATTGATGAACCCATTTTATTTGCCATCTAAAAGAGTAGAGAAAGCTGTAATTTTGGAAGAAGCCGGACATTAAAGAACAGAATAAAATGAAGGTGAACAAGTGAAGTTAAATCTCGTCCATTAAGCAGGGCATTTTTTTTTAAAGTTGTGCATAAAAGGCCACTCAATAAAGAAGCACGCTATTTCTGTGGTATATTTACGTTTAACATAATTAAAACCTTAGTCCACTGAAAAAAATTCTTTAAATTTAGATTTACATTAATGGCCCCTGTATTTCAGCTTGTTTTTATACGGATTTTTTTTTTTTTACGTTTTATAACATTAAAAAAAATAAATTCCAGGTAATTAAATTCTAAAGTCCCAGGAACCCAGCAGAAAGATTCTCAAATGGCCTACTGTCTGTGTAATCTAGCAGTCAGTATCTTCACTTCAGATGTGGGTAACTTGAGGCTGATTTAGCTGCCTGGCAGCAAGAAGCTGTTGAAACACAGTGAAATAAGCCCCTCCTAGCAGTTAAAAATACTCATCTCATCTGCAGGTTTTGGCAACGTGGCTCCTGGCTCCTTTTCTAACTAGACTACAAGACAGAAAACAGCTCTGGGCATTTCTCTACCTCCAGGAAAAAGAGTGCAGCAACCTACGCTGTAAGATCTGTCTACCTAGGATTAATTAGCATTAACCATATTATAGCAACCACCGGCAGCAGCGCAGTGGTGTCCAGGTGGTAGAAAAGGTGGACTAAAGTGTGAAGGGAGACCAGACCATTCTAGCTTGTAGGAAAGCCGATCTGCTTTAGTTCTCCACGGTAAAAATGTCCAAATCTTGTAAGTCCCTCTGAGCTTAGGTTCCCTAGAAACTCAAGTGCTCTTAAAAACTTTTCACGCTTAGCGCATGCTGCTTAATGAAGATATTAATAGGAACACCTCTATTCACTTAAGAGTGATTATCCTGGTAGTAATTTCAGTCCTGGATGCCTGAGGAACCTTAAAAACGTGAAGTATTTGAGCAAATGAACAACTGCTTCATCACCCAAAAGACAAACTGGATAGTCAGGAAGTGCCAACATAGAAAGCCAGACACAAAAGAAAAAGTTGGCTGGGTTGTTCGGTGGCCTGGACCAGTCAACAAGGGAACGTAAGGTTCAAAAGGAAACGCTGTGAAACGTCTTCTAAACCGTCTCCTGGAAAAATTACGTGGAAGAGTCAAACTTCTCCTTGCAGCAAGCAGGTGTCTGCAGGAGGAAGCTCATGCAGGAAGGATGTACAAGCCGAATCCTCTATGCCGCTATCTATGTGGGACCTCAGATGACAGGAGGCTACAAGCTTCCAGGAAGAGCTGCTGCATGCTTAGATATTTTTGAGTCAGACAATTGACCTTTTGGAAAGAACAGCACTTCAAAGTCACCATCTGGTACATGAAATCATTTCATAGCTCTACAGCCAGTATTCAGTTATTACCCTTTGCTTCTCAAACACTACAAACGGGCAAAGAGCTTTCACTTCCTCTTGGCCTCATGAGTTAAGGTCCGCCACAATAAATTCTTCAGAGACACAAGCCTGGCCAAAGCCCATCAAGCACCAAACTCTTCTAGGCCTCTGCAGTAGGATCACCTCTGCTCTATATGCTCACTACAACATTCAGGTCTTCAGGTCAGCTAGCAGAGCCTTCTTTCTTAAGCCTTATATTGCTATTGCAACTGTTCCTGGTTTGTTTTTTTTCTACTACATGACTCAGATTTGGAAAATGAGTCATTTTGCCAGTGGCTTCAGAGGTGTTCAGTTGACCAGCAGTGGCAAACTAGTTCCTGCCAAACACTGCCTGACAACCGAAGTGTTTTTACTTTTAGCTGACAAGGACGTCCCTGAGCCTCAGCTGTACTTGTCCCATCCAAGAAGTGCAGTCCAGAAAGAGCACTCACCAACTGCAGAGACTTCCTCAGCCTGACGAAGGGTTTTTAAACCCGAAAGCTTACTAAAAATGTTTTTTTTTCCAACTATTTAAGTTGGTCTAATAAAACATATCCGATTCACCCAAAGAACCTAATCTATCAATTGTTCCTTGCAGTCCTAAAACAGTTAAAAAAAAAAAAAAAAATCACAGCTTGCCGTGATCATCTTGGGAGACAGGATTCTGGCAGGACCAGGGCTTTTTGCTAGCCTGCAAATGTCCCAGCAGTGACAAGCCCCCGTCTCTGTTAAAAATGGGGGACCACGCGTGACCATGATAATCTAGGTGACAGTGAAGCACCTACCAGTCAGCAGCCCCTTGCCCACAGCACTCCCTTCACCGTTGGACGGTTCTGCAGCAACAGCATCCTGGACAGGCTCTTTAACCTGCTCCTCAGTGAGGATGGTGACGGCTTCTGTTAGATCACCGTTAGCAGCCTAGGAAGAGGAAGGAGGGTTAAACCAGCCATTATTCTGAAGTTCTTTTATATACATGTGAAGGAAAATAACACACAGTTCCCAAATTGGCTGGCCACAGCAATATGTTGACAGCCAACACTGGGGAGAAACAAAGGCTTTACACCTAGCACCTCTCACGTGACAAACACTTTGCTTCATTAGTTTGACATTACAGATGGTGTTAAATAAACTTGAGCTCCCTTGAAGGACAGCACAATGCTCCAAAGACTTACACACATAAGTAGTTCCCCTAAAACCCACCTACAACTTGGTTCCAAGTTGAGCACACATTTAAGCACCCTGCTGAATTAAGGCCTTATTAACTGGCAAGAGTGCTGCATTTCTCAAGAGATCACAGATGCAGCCCCGTGTATGGCTTTATCTTTTATAAATAACCACACAGAACAAGTAAAAGGAGCTACAGGAACCACATATGAAATACTAACAGCGCAGCCCATTTCCCAAGAGACTGGCATACCTACTTTTATTTTGAATTGTGTTTCATTATAGAGAGCAAAGCAGCGGCCAGGTCTGCAAACACACACGACTGCTCCTCTTTGGAAACTCTGTCATCCCCTTAGATACGATCTAATATTATACAGCTATTCCCATTTGAACAAACACTGATGATTTTTTTCATTTCTTTTTTTTTTTTTTTGAAGAATCATTCGCAGAAACAGCTAATTTCCTGCTGACACGCTTCAAAAGGTTCCAGATTGATAAACGTAGTGCTCTACCACGACGATTGTAAATATTTTAGTGCGTGTGATGGGTAGGGAAAAGCATTTCTTCTCTCACTTTCCAAGACAGCTCGCGTACTCTGCTTTATAATGTAGATGCGGGGCTCCCAAATAGTGCCCTGTGAGGGTCTGCGCAGAGCATCCCTCTGCCCTCCTTCCAATTACAAGTTTGGCTGTTTCACAAGACCGGGAAGAAATTCATCCTAGCTGGGTAGTCCCAAAGGTCTGAGACCTGCTGGCACAGATCACTGTGTTGCCAGCTCTGCCAATACATCCACATGTATGAAAGCATAAACCACAGGTCCTTGGATGCATTTTCCCACCACCCAGTGTTCCAAAAACAGGTTTAAAGCGAAGAAAAAGAAAAAAAGAAAAACCTTCTTCTATCCCACCCTGGGTTTTTGGTTAAGCTTCAATATGTACAGAAAGCAGCCTGCTCAACATATCATTTAATCCTTCCAGGTAACACGCAGTTTCTATTTAATGCTGCTTGTACATGCAGCACAGGTTTTTAAGCCCTGCTGTTGGAAAAATGAGAGTTCATTATCTACTGTAGGCTATTGTGTTTCAAAAGTCAGCAGGGCCATTAAGCCAAAAGGCTATGCCTTCCTGCAGTACCATCACCTGCTGTACTCGGGTGTCCATTGGGTTGCTGATGTACTTAAACTAACAGAAGTTAGAAGTGGGAGAACAAATAGTGACTTGGGTCTACTTCCAGCACAAACCAAAGTGCTCTCTAATGCATCTATATTTTACTACTTCATCAAGGCTACTTTTGAGCATCTAAAAAAATGGTATTCCTATAAAAATGCTTAACAAATCTTTGGGTTTTGAAAGATGCTTAGAGAGAGCCCTTTAACACTTACACAGAGCTTATAAACTGAACCAGCACAAGTCAATGGAAAAAAAAGCTGAGATTTGCTTCCAAAAGAACGGCGATGGCACAAACTAACCTTCAGGGCATTGTGAAGGCAGGATGGATCCTGAATCCCTGTGATTTCTCTCAACTGGTTTAAAAGCATCTGGCAGTCCTATATTAGAGGGGACAAAGAAAGATCCTGTAAGAGAAGGTGACTGACAAAGAGAGATGCAGTTGCCAAGGACTTGCTCGTATTTCTCACCAATACTGCGGGCATAAAACCCGATCTTAGATGAGCCAAGCCCAATTTCTTACACTTCGCTCTATTTGGATGAGGACTGTAAAGTCTTTTGTATTTGAGAGAACGTATGAAAAAGGGCTGCTAGAGGTGATACAGCCTGAGTGCCATGAGCGGTGCTGGCGGGCACCAATTCCCTCCCCCCACCCCCCTGTATTCATTCCTCCCAAAGTGGAGCAGCATGTGCACTGGGACATATAAGGAGCCCAGGGAATTCGCATGGGATTGATGGAGGGCTATTTTAAGCTTGGCTGCACATGCCATTGGTGCATGTCATATCTCACTTACAATGAGGTGTCAGAGATACAGAACACAAGGGGCCTGGAGGCTCCTCTTCCCTGCCCCCACAAGCCACTTGGCTATTTTGTTGGGCAGCGATTGTGCTTCTTGTGCTACACCTCCGCTGAGCAGGTAGGCCCTGCAGAGCCCCCCGCTCCAGAAGACACAACGCATAATTTAGGCGACCTCCAAAACCGTAAGAGAAATGTACACTCCCATGAAACCCAGATGTGCTGCGACAACCACAGATAGCCCATTCTAAACCAATAAATATCTGATGTCAGAGGTATGAATCTTGTTTTGTTTTTTTTTTAAAGCACAAAAATCAGACATTTCACATCTGTGTTTATTTCTGAGTTTCTAACCCCTCGCCACACACCTCTTACCATATCTATGAATTGCGATCAGGGATATTAGGGTACCCTAGGCTGTAAGGAAGGGGGTCCGGGATGTTTTAAAGCTTTTTCACTGAAAGTGGGTGGAATGAACAGGAAAGTTTCCTAGAAGATAAGGTAAGTGAATCCAGATACCAGCAAAGAGATGCCACCTGGTTGCAGAAGAAGCTAGAGAAGTTAGTGGAGAATCTAGTTAAATCTGGTCTACCGCTAGACTATGAATTCATGATCAATGGGATAAGACCAATGTTTGCATTACAGGCCTGAAATAACCATGAAAAGCCTGCACTTCATCCCAAGCATGGTCTGCTCCTCTACCACTGACTGCTCAAATGGACACAGCTACTTTGAAGGAACTGTCGATTATGGTGCAGGCACCAAGTGAAAAAAGGCTCTCCTTTGGGACCAGCAGTCACTGCACTTCCCATTTAAGTACCACAGTGCTATGAATAACTTCAGCCACCGCAGTGAACGAGGAGACCAGCTGATATCTCTTAATTATTCCAGCACCTAATTGCGATACTGCAGCCCTACCACTCCCCTTCCTAAATACAGCAGCAGCTCTTTGTCACTGTAAGTTTTAGCTGGAATTAAGAGACTGAGTTCTGGCTTTGCAGTGGAGCAAGTGCACAAGCCTGGTGCATGTTAACCCAGACAGAAATAACCATTTCTTCACATACCGGATATAGGCAGGACTCTTTCAGCTCTTACTCTCATGAGCTGCCCAGTGAATTTTATCCTCACAAACCTGTGCACCTCTTTGAACATATATGTACTAAGCTGCATTTTTCACTGTAAAGGCATCGTGTGATGTGATTCAACATCTCAAATCTTGTTTTCTTATGGTTAGTAAACGAACCCCCTCTTTGAAACCATGCATCAAAAGTAGAGAGAGCTGCTGTTTCACTGCTACTATTTCACCAAATAGTGCACACGGAGGTTGCTATGCTTTAGTTCAGCCGCGCTCCTTACAGTCCTTGCCCCAAAAGGTTCGTTTTCTCTCTTTTTTTCACAACCTGTAACATAGAAACAGTTCAGAGCTGCACAGATAATAAGGCCCTAATAAAAGGCACTAAGAAAAATGAATTGTAAAGCTCCTCAAAAACACTAACTTTGTTTAGTTTTCTGAATGCAATGAAGAAACAAACTGCTGGAGCTAATCCTCCCCATCCCCAAATCTAATCCTCAGAGACAGACAGATTGGAAGGTCTTATGCCTTGCCAACAATACAAAAGGAAACTGCATAATGCTAAAATGCCAACAATGTGAGGATCAGGCCTGGAGCACTTTCACAAAAGCAAGCCTATATATCACATTACTGATTTTGCTGCTACACCAAGTGTATTCCTGTTGCTTAACACCTTGTGCTCCAGGGCACATTTTTTTGCTGAAAGAACACCCTTATTAATAAAACCAACATTATCATCACAAGACACAAAGGCAGGACAAGACTTGCTTTTGCATCTGAAAAGAAGACAGCCTTCCAGAGAAATCTGCATTAAACACCAAAGTCTACAGCTGAGCATTTCTAGCTATCTAGAAGGCTTCTGATGCCACGTTGTCCAACTATTATTTAAAGACCATTTCTACAAGGGAATCAGTTCCCCCACCCCCCAACTGGTCAGTTGAGATAAATTTTGAAGCATCAGCAAAATATTCTGGATACCAGGATTTAATGGCTGAAAGTTTGTCCTGTCCTGTGAATGTCACGAGGTTCTGCACCTGCAGCAAACAAGAGCTAAACAGTGCTGGCATAGTTGCATCGATATATGTTTGAAAGCTACTTATTATTTTAATTCATAAAAAGACATAAAACCCTCTCTTCTGACTAGACATAAAACCCTCTCTTCTGACTACCATTTGGTAGTTTATAGCCATCTTCAAAACTGGAAATAAGCAACAAAACACCCACGTCCTGAGGACTTCTCAAACTGGGCTCAGGAATCCTGCCCATGCCCCTTAACCTTTTCAATCTTAAGGACTGCAAAAGTGTCCAGGAAATTTTTTTTTTTTATATATATCTTCATTTTGGAGTTACACATATGCTCGTTACACGCATGCTATTCTGCAGGATACAGGTTATTAATTAGGCCCCTGGAAAGGCAAGCTACCCAATCTAGCGAGTTCAGAAGACCGATCTGTAATGTGGCAGAGGTTGAAGGCAGTGGTTTTAATAATGTCAAGACATACACATGCATTCCAGTTCACAGCGAAGTACAGGAAATGGGACCCAGCAACTTTCTCCGCTGCGATCCTATCTTCCCCAGTTTGGATGCAAGACAGAGGGAGAGAGTAGGTTTTCATAAAGTGAGGTATTGCATACTTTTCTCCATGCATAGTCATCTACCTAAGGAGATTTCAAAAGCAGGATCCCAGAAAAGTTTGGTACCTTTAGTTTGCTTTTTAAAAATTATACTATGACCCACATCAGTTGCAAATAAGGCAATAAACAAAATTCCTTCCGGCAGGAAAGTACATTAAAATGTGGTTTGGTAAATGTTCACTGGGGTGGGCATCCTTCAAGGAGACAAAACAAAGTCTGAAAGGTAAGCTGGGGGGGGGGGGAAAGGGGCCAAAATAGTATTTTAGA